AAGTACAAGCGTCTTTATTTAAGTACAAGTATTCTAACAAACTTATTAGAGACAAGTACAAGTGCAAATACTTTTTTTTAGGTACAAGTACAAAAGCAAGTATACTTGTACATAGGCAAGTACATATAGCAGTACTTGCTTTGAAGTATAAGTAAAAGTACAAACTTTCTTTTTCGAGTAAAAGTAAAATACTTTTACTTGCTATACTTGTACTTGTCCGAGCTCTGGTTCCGCCTAGAAGAATAATCCAGTTATAATGAGGACTATGCTCGTTAAAAACAAGATTTTCAAGTCTTTTCACCATTGATGGAACAACATATTCGCCAGATACTCCTTTTTGGTCAATAATAATTGAAATATTTGATAATGAGAATAGTTTAAATAGATTTATCGCGTACGGATGGTTCGATAGACCATAGTTACAAAAACCAGCTGTTAGAGAATCACCAATTGCAAGAAAACGAAGAGATGATTGCATTTTTTATCTTCTAATAATAATGATAATAAGACAAGAAAAGTCCTATGATACTAAACAAAACAAAAAATGAAAAATATGATATACGTATGTGTGGCAGAATGATTAATCATGTCTTACATGCTAAATATTTATTGACTCATCTACAACGTAATTTTGAGCAGAGAAAAAAATTCTATTAGATGAGATTTCGTCGTTACTATCTATGCATTTTATTGATTTTTCGAATGGATCCTGTCGACCAAGATCTATAGAAAAGTTAAATCACTTCATAAAAGTATCTAGGTGAAAATTTAATGCGAATCTTGCATTTCATCATTTCTCAGTGTGTAATTAGCACATCTATAGATCAACAATATTGTGGTACCAAGATCCGTTGATGTGTCCTGCCAAATAAGTCAATTACTGTATATAGATTCTCCTTCATCTACAGAAAATCGAAATATTAAATATTTCCCATGCTCAGAAAAATCATTCCGACGATCGGATTCATGTGAATTTCTATGAACACCAACGAATTCCTGTAGGATCCTGGCTGTAGACCGACATTCGGATCCTTAGTATTGTGACCCGATCAGATCTTCTTGTTGGATCCGTTAGTAATTTATCAACCCGGAATCCTATTGGATTCCATCGACTCGTTGAATACACATTTCCACTTGAATATAAAAAAACCGTTGTTAGACATGCAAAATGTGCAAAAACAATGAGGACTTATGAAAAGCAAATCTTATTCCACGACATATCCTTGGTCCACCACCAAACGGCATAAAAGCAAGCGGATGTCTTTTACAAGCATGCCGTTCTGGATAAAATTCAAGAACCGGTTCAGGTCCCCAATATTCATTATCATAATGAAGAGAAAGAACACCAACTTGAATCAATGTTCCTAAATGAAATAAATTCAAAGAATTATTTCAGTTGAATAATAATAAAAACCTTTTTCAAAATAAGATTTATCAACATAAGTGTCTTGCATACATTGACGATGAACAGGTTGAATAGCAATTGGATGCATACGTAAAACTTCACGAATATATATATCCATGTAAATTAATTTATTGGTTATTGTTTCATGAGAGTTAAAATCTGACGATTTATATTTAATGATTTTTCGATAAATTTTTTCTTGAATATCTTGATGAATTGCTAAACGATAAGTACAATAGCCTAATGCCGTAGATGTTGTTGCGAAACCTGCGGCCAACATTAAATAAACTTTGTTTAGTAATTCAGATGAAGATAGCTGATTCTATAAATTAAAATAACATTTTATAAGACAATAAATTGAAATATTTCCATGATTTCACAGAAGATTATTAACAACAAGTAACATCGTAGTTTGAGAAGAAAAATAAAATCGGTAGTCTTCAAGTCGATGATTAAAGAAAGAAACTTCTATTTGAATTAGATGAGAATCTACGTCTTTTAAAAATAAACTAACATAAACTATCGAAAACAATTTAACTTAAGGTCTGTGCAATAGTTCTAAAAATTTGTGCGTTTATTTAAAATTGATTCTATAAAACTTTCATGAATAAGATTTATCTCTAATCTTTCTATAATGATTTGTTCATTTTCATTCATAAATGAAGAGAAATGTTTATCTAATTAACATATCTAATTAATTTATGAAGAATTCATATTTCTCAAAGGGAATTCAAATGATTATTTGAAAAATCATTAGATTTTCATGAAATTGAGACTGAAGATAAAAAAAAATAGGGCGAAAGTATATTTTTATAATAGTAATAAAAACTTTCAAAATTTAGGCTATGATCTTCTTGCTTCAAGATATGTTGTTTACGTCTTCTTACTACGTTTTAAAGTATTAGCATCTGCAAATGTTAAAATTCAATTGTTTCACTCGATAAAATTTAATCAATTAAAAATAGTGTTGTTTTCTTTTTCTCCTGTTAATATTCTTCATTTGCTTAAGCATTGCCACAAGAACAGTAACTAGAATAAACAATATTGAATCTCAGTAAAGAAATAAAATGAACTCAAATATCTTTGGAATTTTTATAGGTACGGATTATAAAAATTAAAATTTCAAAAAAGATCTGATATTCGAGGGATTTTTCTTTGTGATCTAATCAGAAAGATTTTCTTTGAAATATATTGATGAATACAAATAAAATAGGTTTACAATGATTTTTTTCTCTCCTTAGCATAATTTCTATTTAAAAAAAGTCAGTTACGCTTAAAATTGAGAAAAAAGCATGTATTTTAATATAAATACTATTTGAATTTTTTGATTTTCTTTTTTGTTTTTATAAGTGTAACCTTATTGAACTGACTTTATCGGATTGAAGAGCATCAATCATTAATTGTAGAAGATCATTCGTTGTCTGCTGATGGTTTTTTTGAAATCTTTCTTGTATAAATTGATGAATATGATTAATAAGCCAAAAATTAGCTGGAAGTGAAGATTTTTCATATTCGAACATATATTGACGACGAAATAGAAATGAACATAAATTAGCTAAGAAAGAACAAGACATAATTCGATGTATTCGTGCTAAATATGATCGCCCAAAATCTTTTCCTAAGACTTCTTGCACTTTTTTCATATAAATATTTTCATGATTAATATCATGTTGTACTTGTGTACCAATCCCAAAGGCGCAGCGAACTTCGAAAAATAAAAATATTTGTATTTGATAAAATATTTTCATTTTCTTACAAATAATATCTATTGTTAATCTTTTATAGAAATCTAAAATATTTATCTTGTTTTCATTCGTTTTCATAAATAATTGTGCGATAAAAATGTTAATAGATGAATTCATCATTGGTAGTAATCGTTTCATTTTTGATGTACTAAATGTTGGATTTAATATTGTTCTTTGTCTTTTCCATTGTTCATTGGAATTTGTTGCAAAAACATGAAGACGATCTTGACCTAATAATCGATTCGATCTGATAATGGGGTTCGTCTAGCATAAAAACGATGAAATTGTGAAATAAATATTTCTTGAATAATTTTTACATCAGATACAACATAGACAGGACGCACACCTTCAAATATTCCATAAACAGAACTACATTGAAGTCCCCATTTATGAAGCTGTTCAGAATATGAACTAGCCGACCATACATTAGATAAATGATCAAATATTAATGATGAGATAGGTGGACATAATATTGAACGATTTGAAAAATAACAATAACGTTTATAGATTAACTAACTAATTAGACATGAAAATATGCACAACAGAACCAGCGATTCGATTAACATTTCTTCTTTCTTTTAGCATAGAATTTTTCTTTTAAGTACATATTCAAACAATAAACTTTCGTTGATATGTATACCGTCTATTCACAAACGTATCATTTTTGTTCAGTAGTTGAAAAATATATGTACAGGTCAATATGATAAGATAAAGCAAAAAAAAAGAACAATAGAGCGATATCAATTGATAAATATTGAAAAATTTTATTAGAAAAGAAAGAAAGTAAAATTTAAAATACTATTTAATTATCGTTAATTTATATATGTATATCATTTTTGTTATGTTAAAAAGAAGAATCAATTAATCGATACGTACTTTTATCTTATTGTTTTATTTCTAAGTTATTTTTTAATATTTGATATTTTTATTTAAATAGAAGGAATATTCGAAATTTAACCTTTTATTGTTATTGGAATAGGAAATCATACTGGAAGTGAAACACTTCATGAGTGTTATTGAACATCTAACGTGGTTAATTGTTGATGGATTTAAAATGAATATTACTTACGATAAAACAATGGAATTTTGATTATTTATTACAATTTGATATGTAATTATAATAGATATCTATGTTTCAGGGCGTTAAACTCGATATGAAGTATCGATTTTGTATCCGAATAATGTTTGTTTAATAATAGACATTTTCCTTGCTAAAGACATAAAAAACGAATCTACAAAGAGAAAAAAATCGAAAATAACAAAAAAAAATAACAAGAGCTTACTTTGAGTCAATCATCTATTGATGTGCTGGTCAGAGTTGATCTTCAGTTCAGTTAAACTCTTTCCCGTCAACTTCGAAATAATTCACTTGAAAAGAAATAAGGTGCAGAAAAATAGTATAGCAATTACTATTAATAATCGAATAGTTCTGAACAGATTCATGAGATCTCGTGATTTAGCGGACTTCCAGCTTTTTTAACAAAACATTTAACATACTACTGGATGACCACATAGTTATTCCTTTGTTTATTCTCAATATAATATAAGTGCAAGATTAGTTAATGATCTCTGATACTAATGGAAGCATAGAAAATTTTACTTTTTGGTTTTAATGATTCATTTAATCTGAATGTTTCAAAACTTGTCTATCAGAAACTGTTTTATCATATTTCACAAGAAATAGTTATATGATTTAACATGTTTCACTTCATTTTATTATTAACAAGAAATTATTTCTACATGATTAAATATATACATTAGCATTGTCTTCGTATTATGAACCATGAATAAAGAATCTATATCGTTTTTCAACATATTCAAATTGATAAATAAAAGTCGATCCTTCTAACTTATACCGATGATGAGCTGATAAAAGTACCCAAATCTTTAGTTTTTTTTCTTTGCAGTTCATATTAAGAGTAAAATAGTTATTATAAATATGGTTAGTAGTACACGATATCGTGTTCGTATGAATTCCATTGAAATCTTTTTTTTCCTTTTTCGAATTTTATTTGGATTCATGATATTTTGTCGCTACCATGGACATAATGACTAATTTCCCATTAAATGTATTGCTAAAATTACTTAGGATTTTGCAAGTCTTGACTCACAAACAATATTATTTTTCTTTTGTTGGTTTTATTAAAACGGAGAGATGCAATAATGTCTTACAATAAATGTTCACTGTCAATTAGTTTTTCTTTCGATAATGATAAATGAATCAAGGATTTTTATGGGCGATGGTGCCATGTAAATAAATTCTATTTCAATAATTCAAAAGATTGGATGTTAACGAGAAATAAAAACAGCATTTTCTTCCGATTCGTTACTTCAATAAGCATTCAAATTGAAGTGGTTAATTGCAAAGAAAAATGTTGAATATGATATACTTTGAGAAGTACTTGGATTTTTGTTTTAGATTTATCAACTTAGTTTATCACATGATTAGTAATCTTAATTTAATTTAATATGATCTCAAAATATTTGAACAGGGTCATAGTAGAAAAAATGAGTGACAAATAATCACATTGAATTGTATAATCGTGACAGATGAGAAAATTCTGATATTTTGTTTGTTTAAATGAACATTCTAAATAGTTGAATATTACTTACCGATGAATTAAAATTCTGATAGAAATTGGAACTAATGTAAAAAATACAAACTTATTTTATCGGTTTTTATAGCTTTTATTATTAAAATTAAAATTAAAATTAAAATTAAAATCAATAATTCTATATTAAAATATAATTTTATTAAGATAAAAAGAAAATTGTTATTAATTAAGTGACATTGTATCTTTTCTTTAAAAAAAAATTTATGGTGATGGTCTTTTTGGTTTGGCCTTTTCTAAACGCTCTTCTAATTCTTGAATTCTTTTATCCTTTGTTTTTATAAGATTTTCACATCGTTTTATTTTTCCTCTAAGAACATCAATTTCTTCATCTTTTGCTCTTAAAGCATCATCATACATAAATGGATCTACATGTCTTCCACCCTTGGTAAAATTAGGATACCCAGGTAAAAGTCCCATTCGTCTTGGTGTACGTGGTCCCATTAATAATTGAGGTAAACGATAGCGCTCAACATTAAATGAACGCCATGTTTCCCATTGTAACCGTGATTTTCTGCCTGTACGAATCAAATTCTCTTCAAGTTTTTCACGTAGATGAAGAAGAAATAATTCAACAGCACGATTGTCTCCATTTGTTATATCATAAACAACAGTACCCGGCGCGTGTAAACTTAATTTTGGTAAAACATCAGAATTTAATATTCGCCAGTTTTTAGTACGTTGAGACATATTTCGTGCAACGTGAAACATATCCAAATCAACATATTCAGGAAAGAAATAAGCAACTATTTCAGCTACTAATATTCCATCAGAAAAGTCTGCATCTAAATTACGTACTGGACGTGATAATGGAATCGTATCGAGCCATGCTAAGATATCATAATAAGCTGTTGTTTGATAATGAGGTAGAATTTTGTGTCCATTCATCGTTTCAATACTTGCATCCGACATGTCAAATTATATAGAAGACGTCTTTGTTTTCAATGAAACAAATGAAGTGCTAAACAAAATATAATTATTATTCAATCAATACAATTTTCATTTGTTCTTTTTTCTCTCGGAAAGGAAACGAGTATCAAATATTTACTTAAAGAATACTCACATTGTCTACAAGAATATCGTCAATATAGAAAGATTTGTTCTGAATATTGACAATGTTTATAAATTTCGTTAAAAATAAAATAAAACTTAAATAATTTGACAAAAGAAGAAAGATGTGATAAATCATTGTTTTGTTGCCAATAAAATAAACAATAACACTCAACTAAATTTTATCGACAAGATCGTCTAATAGAGATTTGTATTTCTTGTCTTAACATTCTCCTTCTAACGTAGGCCATACTTTTTTTTGTTATATTTTTTTGGAAAAAAGATTCTCATAGAGAAAAATGTCTACTTCTCTCAATATCAAAGATTGATATACTTCGGGAAGAAAAATAAAACAATCTCTTGCAATTCGATTGATTTGAAAGAAAACAAAACGAATGATGCTTTCTTTTTCGTTTTTTTAGCGATACTCGTGAAATTGTTAACTTACCAGTGTTTGATTAATTCAACAACGTTGCACTTCATCTCCATGCATTGTCTTTCTTTCTCAACAAAATAAAGTGTTGGTCGTCGTTATTTATTATTTGATCAAATAGCAGCGACAGAAAAAAAAAGTAACAATCACCATTCTTTCCCGTGGCAACAATTCATATAAGAAAACGCAATAAGCGAAAATATGCACGACAATAAAAGAAATTTACGCTCAATTTTAAAAAAGAAAAAGAAACGCAAACACTCCGACCAATCAACACTCTTCAACTATTGATTGACAATATCAATCAATTTCAATTGGAAATACATCTATGTTGAATATTTTTTGAACAAAAGAAAAATATGATCAAAATAGTAGATTTCTAAAATGTGCAATTCAAATAACAAATCTATCCAATCTAAAGGGAAACCTTTTTCAGAACAGTGTAGAGTTCGATTTCTGTTTAAATACTAAAATCGGTCACCGAGAACATTTAGAAATATGTCAAATCGATCAAAGAAAATAATAAAGTTATTTTTAAATTTCTATGTATCAATATATGTGTATATTTAATAATCATAATAAATATACACGTATATTTCTATAGTAAGTAAATAATTCGAAAGAGCAGAGAATAAACATTTCCTTGAAGGAAACAATATTCATATTCTGTCTCAATTACAATTTCAGCGTTTCTTCTTGTCGTGACTAATCCTTTATGATTTCTTCACGAGTGAGTCTATAATAAATGGCAGTCTTAATTTAATATTTTATTAATATCTCAACCAACTTTTATAGCTTTCTATTGAAGTTTTGCTTTTTGAAAAATTTTCAGCTTTCAATTCTCTACAGAGCTACACATAGAGGAGTATCATAGGGATAAAAGCAAAAGTGCTATTGTATCTAGTAATACTGAGAACATTTAACATTAAAAAAATTCCAAAGAATTTCTATTCGAATCGATCTTCGTTTTTTTCTTGTAGTAAGACACTATTCGAAAGATTCAAAGTAGGAGCAATGGTACAATCATGTATGTTCATTTGAGCTCTTTTGCTTGGGCCTAATCGAGAGAATGCGGCCTATATTCGCCATTAGGGTAGACTTCGATAGTATGAATTAGCAGCTTTGTAAAAAAATTAGGTAAAAAGAACAATTTTTCACTGAGTTATAGGATGTTTTCAGGACTATGAAAAACTATCGTACATCTAAAAACGAATAGAAGGGTAACGCTTGTTTTGTATAATAGATTGCTATTATAACAATTCATGAATAAACATACTAATAAGATAGAACTTCTGAAGCGTGTGCTTTCAAAGTTGTTGATATTGCATGTTCTCAGTAGTTTTAAAATAAAACTTTTGCTTTATCTCAATGGCGCTCATCTATATCTAGTTTGGTCGAGAATTGAAAGCTGAAAATTTTACAAAAACAAAACTGCAATAAAAAACTATAAACGCTGGCTGAGATATTAATAAAATATTAAGACTAACATTTATTACGGGTCCACACGTTTGATTGCATAAAAAAGATTTCATCAATGATCATGAATCTACATTTCAGTAAACCGCAACTAACTAATATAAAATGTTCGCTTTTATCAATAAAATAAAAATAAATGAATTTGATGTCGACTGCAACATTTTAACTTCAATTGATTTCTTTTGATTTAGTATCCAGATAAAAGGTGAAATTCGAAAATTTCGAGAAATCCACTGAAGACTTAAATCATTCGTTGTTGAAAACCTTCTATTCAATTTTATTTTTAAAGAATTATTATTTTATACGAAAAATTGTTCTTGTTGCAAAATTAAACATTAATATTCAATTATCAAATAAGAGTATCCTCCTGTCTTTTTACTGCTTATTACTTCAAGCTAGTAAAAAAATGATTGGATTGAATAGAGATGTGCGGGACCACATTTTTTTAAAGTTCCAGTGATTCTAGTTTTTCTACTGCCTGTCTCTATCTAGGTAAAAATATTGAAAAATGCCTTCGCCTCACATTCTAAATGCCTGTTTCATACACGCCTTTTCTATTTCTTTACTACAACTGTAGTTGATATGTACTTTAGACTACGGAAGTCTCGTTTTCTTTCTGATAGTAGGTCCACATTTTGTTTTGGTGTCGATCTCGGTTTCAATGATTGGAACCGAGACTGCTTTTACATATCTCTAGTGTTGACTAATTTTTTAGATAGATCTACCAAATGATATTATTATTATCATTTCATAATATTTAGCAATTATTATAGAATATTTTTCACTGAAACGAAAGATATAGGTCTTTCCTACGTTGCAATTTCAAGCTAATGATTACATATCGTAAAACTTCTTACCCTTGCCCTGCCCTGCCCTGCCCTAGGGGCTTTGTACCCTTACCCTACCCTACCCTACCACAGAGATTTTTCATTTTACACCCTATCATATCCTTAGAGTTTCAGGTCGAAGTATAAGTCAGCATGAAGTTTTTCTTCACTTTGTTTCAATATATTTTATTGATTTTCAACGAAAATCAAATACAAAATTAATAAATGTTTCGAAAGTTTCTTAAAAATAAAATGTCATTTACAACATTACCATTTAAATTTTGCCTTCTCTCTTCCAAAACTCGCCAGTTTGCACTAAAAATACGTTCATGTCGAGATGATTTCGAAGACATTTTTTATTACATTTACATGCACATTTACTAGACAAATAATCAAAAGTGACTGAACTCGCCAGCTTATGTAAAAATAGTACTAAAGAGTAGGCCATTGTTTTCCGTTCGTTGTTATTCTACCCATTCGATTTAGATTATGATATCACTCTTTACACTGTTTTTGATCAAAAAGATGTCTGAAATATAGATTAAGTTCTACTCTATAAACTTTTTATTTGTATGCGCTACACCCTACTTATACCCTAAATATTTTTTTGTAACCTTACCCTGCCCTGCAGGGCTCTAATAAACAACAATTGTCAAATATAATTATATAGAGTATTAATATCAAATTTTTTCATTAAAAAAATACCATGAAGCAATTTTTATATTTTATTCGTTAATTAAGCAACCCTTTTATCAATGCGTTTTGTTAATCTATAATAAATCGTTCTAAATATTGTAGAAAAAGATTGATCTCTATTCATTTACGATAATGAATGATAGATATATCTGTCATAAATCCCATTGTTACGTGCGTGAGTTTATTTCGTATAAATGAGTTTTTAACTTTTGTTTTAGCATAATACATGTTTGTGTGCATTGGACCTTATTAAATGATCATATACATGAATAGGTATGAAAGTAAACAAAGAAAAGAATAAAGCAAAAAGTGATATAGCCAATTATTTTTTAAAAATGGTGACAATAAATTCTCCTAAATCGGATATATTTTCCATTGATGCAAATCATGAAAAAGTAGCAGTTTCTATTGAGAAATCTGCTGAAACTATTGGTAAAATAGAAAATGTTGAAGAAAAAAATGATGCATCACTATCGATCTTCAATAGATGTTGGAAATGGATAAATACATATGTGAATAAATTTCGTGGTTTGCATGAACAGCGACCAAAACGCCTACCATGGCGAGAACATTTATGGAGTTTTATTGGAGCATTTGTCAGTATCGCAACTATTGCATTTTTTCATTTCAAATTACTCGCGCAGTAAGTAATGATTACGATTTATAGTAGTGAAAGAAAATTATGGTTTCATATAGACATCAACAATCGTTTTTAATTGGATCATTTGGTGCTTCCGCAGTCATAGTATTTGGTACTCCCCATACTCCACCAGCTCAACCTCGAAATTTAATTTGTGGTCATTTGATAGGTGCTTTATGTGGATGCATAGCTCGAGTAGCAATTTATCAATATGAAAACTCAATAGGATGTGCTATAGCAGTTGCTACAAGTATTGTACTAATGCAATTCACAGAAACAAGTCATCCACCAGGTGGCGCAACAGCTCTAATAGCTGTGACATCTGAACGAATTTTGCCTTGGGCAAATTTTCAATTTATTCTAATGCCAGCTCTTAGTGGCGCTTTTACAATGTTGTTAGTTGCATTAATTGTTAATAATATGGCACATAAACGAGCATATCCTACTTTTTGGTGGTAATTGCAATTCTATATGCATACTCCATCATTTTTCTGTTGAATATAATAAATATTGTTACTCTTGGACCTTCTAGAAATTGATTAGTAGATCTTATGTCTGCAATGAAAAACTATGATAATAAATATCACTGGATGATCATTCTAATTCATAGTTTTAATCCTATACAATTACAGAGATTTTATTTGTAGGAAACCTTCGAATTAATTTATTAATTGTAAAGTAAATCATTTTATGATAAACAGCCAGTTGTTCATATACTTTCAAATTCAGATTAGCCATTGACTCGAAACAGTTTCAGTAATTGATTTTCTTCTTATTCACACAAAATCAAAATGTTGTTCAAAATCATCAATACAATATACGCCAAATAGATCAATCAAGTTTACGTTAAAGCAAATAGATTTAAAATGTTTACTATGGCTACATTTCGAAGTTTCATGATTTTTTTGAGCGCGTTTGAACTTATTTTAAAGACAGAACATGATAAGGAAGAGTTTATGTAAAGATATTTTGAAAATTCTGCAGATTGATGCTCTTCCTTATATTCATAAATGAAACTTTTTTTTTCAGAAAATCTTCTTGTAATGCAAATTCGAACTTTTATTTTTTTTTCGTCTATCGTTAGTGAGATGGTTTACAAACAAAACATCGAAGTGATGAAAATGTTTAATCCTTTTCTCTTGTTTATTTTGTTGGGAACAACTGATCAGCTGATCAGGATTGTCGATTGTTTGAAGAATGGGAGGGACTGAAAATTTGGTTGAAAGTGTTGTGTCTTAGTTTTTGGAGGAGTTAGTCCCTCCTACCCTACTCTAGGGGCATAACCAGAGATATCAGCGCCCCCCCCCCTAGAGAAAATAAAATCTGGTGAAAAGATAAGTTTAGCCCCCGTACGATATCTTTGACCAACGACTTAGGCTCCCCTACAATTTTTTTCTGGTGACGCCCCTACCCTATACATTCCTATTCACGAAACGTTCATTTGATAAATAAATAATTTAATTGAATAGTACTGAATTAACTATTTAGCAATGTATGAATTTAGAGTTTTTCAAATCACTTCAATTTCAAAAGTTTCTATAAGCCCGATGATGTCTCGAAGTAATTTTAAGTCTCATGAGGTAAATTCTAGTCTTCATCTGATGAGCAAGCAAACAAAAATTCTGCTCGAATAGAAATAGTAATGAGATTATGAGATTAAACAGGAGAATTGATAACACTATTTTGGAAAAAATAATTGCCATTGGGTATCATTCTGAATAACGAATAAACACTCCTATGTTCGAGAATCTTGTTAACATAGGATCGAGATAATCAAAGACAATTTATTATCAAGTTATACAACCGTGAACTTTTTTTTATCGAAGAAACTATTTTCAAAATGTTCGACATTGACATTGACTGATCTACTATGAATAGAAGAACAAGAAAAGAGGCTTTGAAAACGCATTTGATTGGCTTTAAAAAATTGCATGATTAACTAATGAAAGAACATTAACCGATCTTGTCGTTTCTTATTCTCTCAATTGCTTTTTCCATTTGTTAATAAATATTTTCGGTGGACTTTTTTATTGTTTCTTATTTATCTTAATATAGTATATTTTATTTTTTGAACAGCTTCAATGTTTATTGTAACTTGGTTGCTCTTTAAAATATTGAGTTATATAATATGAAAGAAAAGGGGAAAAGCTCAAATGTATATTGAACTTTGCATTATGATTCAATTGTCGTCTCCCCATCTTGTTCAATCATATAACACTAAATATTCCGTCTTATGAATAAACAAAAATGAAAGCTATACGTCGAAGAACAGCTTTCTTTTTATGTTATAGATGGAATTACGAAAACGATCATTAATCAGAGAAATTGAACTTGAGAATAGTAAATATACAGCAAAAAAACAAAAAAAAAGTAACAAAAACATAGATAATTTTTATGTCAATAATCAACTGAATTTTTATTATTTAGATTTTTCAACAATAAAAAGTCAAATAGAAGATCTATCAGGTGAAATTTGGTTTGAAATATTTGCATATTTTGATGGTCAATCTCTAATAAATATATTTTCAAAATTGAATTCATTTATTGAATCATTATTAAATGATTATCGTCTTCCAATTCATTTTAATTATTTTTGTTCGAATTCTTCAGTTCCATATCCATTAAATTTAAATCAAGTTGTATCTCTCACAATAAATTATTCTCAAATAATTGATCATTCAATAAACAATATCAATTCATTGGTTCGTCTTCATTCGCTTAGTTTAATCAATATAAATGATGAGCAATTAGAAAATATAAGTAAATTTTCATTTAATAATCTACATCAAATATCCATCGAATCAAAACGCGTGAAATTTATAATGAAAATAATATTGATCTATTTTCCTAATGTCAATCGAATGATACTTAATTCAATGGGAAAAGAATTTGTTGTTAAATCTTGTCATCATGATAAAAATCAAATAAGTCAACTTGAAAAGTTAACTCTTGATGGACGAATTAAATTAGCTAAGCTTGCACGGCTTTGGTCTTTCGTAAGAAATTATATTAAAATAGAAAAAACTGCCTGAATATCCTTTTTGAATATTTAAGATTCCTAATCTTCGCTCTTTTTCTATTATTAATGGTGGAGTTCATCAATGTGATTATTGGATGGATGAATATATAATATCTCATCAAAAATTTCCTCCTAATTTAACATTTATTCATATAAATATTTGTGACGATGATATGAACTTTTTAAATCTTGAGAAATTAATTCCAAGAAGTATTCGTTATTTAATAATTAGTGGCTCAATAGCTGATGATGATTTCGAAGATTATTTATCATCATCAAATTGGATTCGATTAATATCAAATTGTTCAAATAAACTTTATCGTATAAAACTTGATCTGTCATCATATTTTGATCCCAGTGATTCATCAGGATTACAGAAAACCTTATCAAAATTTCGAAGAAATTTGTTTTTCCGCAATACTATTATTCAAAGTAAAAATTTTTTTCTTACCATCAAAGGATATATTCAACCTGATGGATTTATCAATGAATGAATTCATATTCTATATTTTGTTTTTTGTATTGTGTTAATTTTTGTTTGTTTTGTATCAAAAGCGGTCAGATGAGCAATATTTGTTTTAATCTACTTGTTTTTTTACAGTATGAAATGCTTTGTTCTTCCCTAGATTATAATAAAAATTTCATGGCTACTGATTCGTCATTGATGGATACTTCGTCATCAACTGTTATAACACAATCAGAAAATAATGATTCGTGTTCAATGAATCAAAGTACTAAACGTAAAGGTACTAAAGATGAATCATCTGGAATAAATAAACGGCCAAAACTAATTGATATGGTTTTTTATGATGGAAATCGTCATCCAGCTGCTGTATTACACGAACTTCGTCCTGAAATTTCTTCTGATAAATATTCTTTTACATTGGAAGAAATCGCTCCTAAACAAACACGCTTTCGTTGTTCAATAACAATTGATCAAAATGTTACAGAGTCAATTAATGCTACTGGAGTCGGTCGATCAAAACAATTGGCAAAAAATATGGCTGCACAGGTTAAATAGTGAATTAAAATAAGACTCTTTTTAGAGATAAAAGTTCATCTTAACGATATATATTCTGCACTTCAACTAAGATTTTTTCATCACGATCTTATTTGCAATGAGCTTGTGTTCTTATACTAAATACTGCCAAGAAGTTATTGAAAGTAGCTACTAGCTTCATCGATATAATTTTAGTTGATAATTCTCAATGCTAGAGAATTTCTTAATCGAAAATCAGCCATTCAATTGATACTAAGTTTAAAACGAAAAAAACCATCACCAAGAAAATATTTTAATAGAGCAAAGAATATTTTCGAAACATATAAATTTAACGAGCTTACTGCAGTTTTTTATTTTCCAACTTTTGTTCTTCATCTGTTGATAGTATCAACAGGTTTAGTTCAATTCGAACCGTATGTTGGGTGTTTGAAAATTTATTCGCTTTTTTTCATATGTACAATGATTGCATTGAAAAGCAAAAATATCTTTCATTCTAAATGAGTACTCTATAATACATTTTCAGTATATTGTACTTCGTTTTATCAAGAATAGTAAAAATCTGTCGAACATAACCTTTATGTTTTAACGAATCTATAGTTTAGTCATGTATCCTATATTCCTTGCACTGGTCAAACTCATAGAAGTTCCATTGAAAAAAAACGTTTATCATTCATGAATAGAGATTCATCACACAAATGAGAATTTCTAAGTCTAATTCATTGAAAAAAAGAAAATTGATTGAAAGAAACAGGCTTTATTTATTCCAATCATAACGGATTCTTTGTGAAGACTTCTATTTGTAAATCTATTTCGTCAGAATAATTTTATTGATCATTTATTTTAGCAAGCTCTAATAAAATTATATCCAACATATCGTCCACCGGATGAAGCGATTCTTAGTGAAGATTCTGATATGTACCAACAAACTCGATTCATTCCCACACTTCCACCTTCATTACAAAATGATCCAACATCATTAATCGATTCAATTCGAAAACATTTAACAACAAAAGCAATTGCTATAAAAACACCGTTACAATTATTTAATGAAATTTTTATTAATAATCAACGATTAAATTCTTCAACATCAACAAAAAATCGTATTGAATTAATTGATAATGAAGAAAATCTTGTTCTTGTACGTGTGATAGCGATGGATCAACAATTTTGGGGTGTTAGTGCAGCAAAAAGTGTTGCACAAAATGATGCATGTCAACAAGCTATCGAAACTTTGTGTAATGTTTCTTTCCGTAGTGCTAAAGGTAAAAGTTAATTTATCAAAATAGTATCCATTTTCTTTTTGTTTTGTTTATTTAAGTTGAATTTATTCGTGCTCTTCAATCGATGAACAAAATAACATTACCACCGGAAGTTAAAATAGACGCTAATAATAATAATAATAATAATAATAATAATAATCATAATCATAGTGATGAAAATATTAACAATAATATTAATAATAATGTGGCAGAACAATCCATGACTACTGAATTAACATCTATTCCAGGTGTGTCATCATCATTTTTGATACCCAATGATGATTCATAGACTGTGTGATGTCCACCATTTATATATATATATCAGAGCACAACCATAAATAAATTAGTTCTTTTATTTGAAAACATTCTTTGTGTTTTTACTAACGGATTTGGTATTTTTAAACGATTTTGAAATTCATCGATTCGTTATTTCGTTTAATGTTCAGTATAATACTAGCAAAGTAAATTTATTTGCGCGTTATGTTTCAATTCTAAAAATATTTCCAATTATAGAATAAAAATCTTATGATTGATGACGTCGTAAACGATAACTTCTCACATTAATGATAATATTGTAAATAGTAATTGTGTCAAATAGAGATTAATAGATAGAAAAGTCAAGATAGAATAAAATACGTACATAAACTGCAAATTCATGAATTGAAGATGCGTAATATACTGGATTTTTATTCAAGTAAATTCGAATCCATTTCCGTCATTAGTGTCTACAAAGATTATGTGTCAAAGTTCAAAGTTAAATTTCTACTTTTAAATATTGTTTTTACGATCGAAATAGACACATCGCAAAGTTCTCTCAATGAGAGTAACCCCCCCCCTCCCATTTTAGAAGACCGCCCTTTAATTAATTAATTTTTGCTAATTACGAACTTTAATCAGCGTTTCTCTATCAAAACGTGACTGATTCTTAGCATTTTAAGCTGAAAATATTAAGAGAATGTGTTCACAATTATAATGACACACTTAAAACCCTGAAAATCCTGATGGAAATCCTGAAAATCGCCTTAGTTTTCTGGAAAACCTTTTAAATTAAATATTAGGAAAAATGCGGTTCTTAATAGAAGGCCCCCCTGGAAAATTTTTACGCTGGAACATAATAGAAGACCCGGGGTCTTTTATTGTGGGGGGGGTTAGTTAATTTTTTCAATAGTATAACTAAAAATTCATTCTTACTCTATGTAACAAAGTATGCTTTTTTTATTACTGCGGAAAAGCAATTCTTGCTTTATTGTAAGTCGTAATTTAGTCGAAGATTGTTATAATTTTGATTCCGACGGAATTTGAGTCACAGTCACGTTTCGGAGTTCTCCGCAGGTAGAAATGGGCAGATCAGACATTTTTAAGATGAAAGTCAAGTCACAAAAATGACTATATATTTTAATCTATTTACTACCTATCTGCAATCCATGACAGTCTTTCATGTTCCTTGTGTCTGTTCCAATGGCTAATTTTAGACTACACAAGAACGACAGGCATGAATTAAAAACTATATACATTTCCTTCACTTGATTTGAGACTATTTTTGAAGGCCATGCAAGAGGGGAGCGGCGGGCTTGAAGTAGAAAAGTACGTCAAAGTAAGCTACTTCAAGTAGCTGAAAGTAATTTGAAGTAGCTCCAAGTAACTTCAAGTCCAAAAGTTCGCCGTTTCCCCCTTGAAACCGCATCACAAGTCAAGTCAAAAAATGACTCGACTCGTCCATCTCTGCTCGCAGGTCTCTATTATCAAGAGAAGTTTATCGCTGTGAAATATCCGGACGTGATGCCTTATCCCTAAACAGATTTATATTATGCTCGAAAGAGTGATTGCTGTTTTCATCAGGATTTGCAGAAGATCGAGTATCAACAAGTGAAAGCGCAGTCTTTTACTTTTTCTTCTTCTCATTGTATAGCTATCTGTGTTAGATCTATATCTGTCTGTGTGTCTCTAAAATCTATTATAAAAAAAAACTAGTTTCATCAGCATACGCAAGAACGAATGTATAACATAATTATATTTATGATAATGAAAGTGTTTTTCTCATTAAACATTGTTTCCTTACTCGACTAATCATGTTTGAAGAAAGAGAAAAGACTAACGTTTTTGTTAGATCTTCTTTATTATTCTTTTCTTTAAGTTGAGATAATGTATTTTTTAGTACTATCTGAATCATCATGCCAAAAGATATTCGGTGTTAAATTTCTAGTCAAATTCATATTTGATGATGACATTTTTGTTGCATGCTTCAGAGAGATTATTAAAGAAAAAATGTGGAAACTTCGGATTTCATCCGAGAGTTATGTGTACTGCAAAAAGTGCATGCGACATGAGTCATTCTAGAATGTCTGAACACGAAAATTATCATGAGAAACTAGGCAATTTGATTTATGGATGCAGTTTTTGTGCATTTTGAGACGTTTTTCAGGCGATATTTCGTTAGAAAGCTATGACTTAGTTCAAAACTAATATCAGATTTAGAATCAGCGTTAAAAACTGAGTCGATTTATATATGTTGTGGATAGTTCTGAGAAAAAAAAGTTTTTTTTGAAAAATCCCTGTACCCCTCCTCAGGGATGGTCTGATCAAAAATGACAATTTTTTCGATAACTCAGCCATTTCTTGACGGATCCTTCTCATCTTCGAACTCGGCCTAGATATTGATGAGATAATTCTGTGCACAAAATTTCAGCTCAATTGAATGTAATTGTGAAGAGTTATCGAATAAACGGACGGACGGACAGACACACTGACCGATTCTATAGTGTACTCTTTTCTTTTTGAGTACACAAAAAACTTTGATTTTTTCAGTGGATACTTTGATCCCACCTAACATCATGCTATACATGATCTATTCGTGAATTTATTTCAAAGATATATGCACATATTATCGACAAGATTTGGACAAAAACAATTAACCACTAGCTGCTCGTGAAATGCTCATTATTCTGTTATATATACATACACAACAAAAATGATGAAAAATAAACTCAATCAAATATCTGATAGAATCTCAGAATAAACAATTAAAAAATCCGATCACATGAACAAATCAACATAAAAATAGATAGGATGACTTACATTGAATTCTTTACAAGTAAACATTTGTTTTCCAGAATTCTCATCTTCGTTCAAAACAAAATATAAGACTGTTCGCATCAAAACTGATAGTATCATATTTTATTCTAAATCACGAAAGCAAAACAATTTAAAAATGTGTTCTAAGATAAGTATTCACAAAAGATTAATAAAAAAAGAAGTACCAATACAATATTGCTTCATGATAATTACATATCCTTCGAATTAGTAATGTAGAAGAATTGTAGGCGATATAGAAAAGAAATTTTACAACAGAAATAAATAAAACGAAGGAAAAAGAAACTCAGTATAAGTTAGGGAGCATTGCATATCTGTACTATAATATTAACATTATCGGTCCCGTAATTTACAATTGCGATATCTATCCAATTGTCTCTGTTGAAATCACCAACAGCTACTGAGTATGGTCGAGATTCATACTCTAATAAATAGGACTTCGCATTTTCAAAAGTGCCATTGCTGTTTCCGTACAATAAAAGTATTATTTTTGAGTCAGCGTTGACCTTAGCGATGTTAAGGTATTTGTCGTTGTTGAAATCACTCACCGCAACTGAAGAAGGACTTACAGAATCGTCAGTTGAATATAAGGTTATGTTCGAAAAGATTCCATTGCCATAGCCAAGAAGTATACCGACATTATTGGTACCAGCATTAGCAACAACGATATCTAATAGAGTATCGTTATTAAAATAGCCAAAAGCAATTGAACGAGGTTTCGATTTCGAGCCACGGCCAGTCGCATGTGTGATTTGTTCCATAAAAGTTTCATTCCCATATCCAAGTAATATACTAATATTATCTTTGCCGTAGTTGGCGACAATGATGTCCATACGAGAGTTATCGTTCAAATCTGCAATGATGATAGATTGTGGGTGCGAATCATTGTCCGTTGAATAGGACTTCGTACTTAAAAACGGTTGGCTACTAATTATAATATCGGGTCTATTGTCATTGTTTAAGTCACGAACGATAAACATCTCTGGCTCAAAACTGTCTCCAGTTGAATATATTGTTAGTGGTGCAAAATTTCCATCACCATGCCCAATGAATACACCCACATTATTATTATCACGATTAGCGACAGAAATATCGAGAACGCTATCTTCATCAAAATCACCTACAGCGACCGATATTGAGAAAGCGTAAGCTCCAGTGAAATATGTTGTTTGATTTGCAAATGTTTTAGCAACATATCTAAGAAATACATTCATGTTGTTAGTTCCATTATTGAGTCTGGCAAGATCAAGTCACTGGTCGTTATTGAAATCACCCTCGGCCAAAACCATCGGAGTCGAATTAGCACCAGTTGAATGTGTCTCACGAGTAGTTAAGGTACCATTACTTGATCCATGAAGTACAGGAATATTGTTGTTTTCAGAATCGGCGATAGCTACGTCTAATATGTTATCTTTGTTGAAGTCACCGATAACGATGGAATCTGGATGAAATCCTGAGCTAATAGGAAATGTCTGTATTGTTGCAAAAGTCAGCAACTGCGATTGACAACGGTCGAGAACCGACACCAATTGAATATAGCTGTGGTTCTTGAAATAATCCATTGCTGTGCCACAGAAATACGGCTAGATTGTTTGTAACTGAATTTACAACAGCAATATCTGATCACTTGTCAGCGTTAAAATCAGCGGCAATGGCAGAATAGGAAAGAGAGTCATAACCAGTAGAATATTTCGTTTTGCTAGGAAAAATGGCATTACCATATCCAAGTAAGATATGTATGCTGCTAGTGTCATAATTTGCAACAATTATATCAAGACACCTGTCATTGTTCAAATCAGCAACAGCAACTGAAACTGGTCGAGAAGAGCCAAGCGAGTAGAGGTTCCCACTGTCAAAAGCTCCATTTCCAAGTCCAAGCAGTATATCCATACTGTTGGTACCATGATTGACAGTCACAATATCTAGTCTATTGTCACTGTTAAAATCACCGATTATGGTTGAGATCGAAAACCAATGGAATAGGTTACTTGTGGCTGAAATGTTCCATTTTCATATCCGAAAAGGATACCTATATTGTCTGTTCCAGGATTGGCTACAACGATATCTAGTTGTGTATCATCGTTTAAGTCCCCAACAGCAGCTGATCGAGGACGAGAATTCTAGCCTACTGAAAGTTCAAAAAGTACTTTAAGGATACGGTGGCACGGTCGATCTGAAGAAGAAGAAATTTATTGTAGTCTGGCTTGTTAATTTGTTTCCTCAAGAAAAGTATCATATATAAATAAGATACTTTGAAGTTAGTAATCTAGGATTTTGAGTATTAAGTTTAAAATGGCACGAATTCACTCGAATAATTTGTTCTAAAACTTTGATTAATGATATTTTTAGATGATGGAAAAAAGGAGTCGATTGAAAGGCAAAATTCTTGGAACAGAAATTTCTGCCTGACAAATTTTCAGAACACGGCTGTATAAAAAATGCATAGTTTGTGCACTACTATTCTCAAGATGAACTGATGTACACGATACTTCGCTTTCCTCATTTTAATTCTCAAGTGCGCATCAGAGCTTTATGTGACGAGAAACTTTCTTCCACTGAATATGCACGTTCCTAGATAGGGCTGACTGAAACTCTAGAAGAATAATGAGGTTTGCAACTTGACAAGTAAATAAACAAAGTATTGCCTATTTTTTCCTGTCTTTTCTAAAACAATTCTTCTTTAGTGGGAGTTCGAAAATTTTACTGAATATTCTCAAAACAAAATGCTAATGTTTTTCATCGAAGCGTTCACATATATGTATGGCCTAGAAAGTTGTTGAGCAAATCGATTATTTCGTCTATAAACGAGAGAAGATTTTTGATTCTGAGCATAGTAGCAGTTTTTTAATTCCTCCTCAAAATATTCAATGAAGTGTTACGAAGAGAGTGCTCAGTTCGATTTGACTCTTCGTCTCTCCGATATCACTGTGCTATTTGAGAATTGGTTTCGATCAAATTAAATTCATTCATTAAAATCTGTCAAGCCCAGAAATAAGCTTTGGAGATAGTTTAAATTTAAAACTCGCCGGAAAACATCACCCGTAGTAATGCCTTTCATAATAAAAAAAAATCTAATAATAGTCGTTAACGCAGAAAATGTCTCCATAGAAAAATGTAATATGACTGTAACGAACATAAAATGTTTGAAGAAAGCTTTTGTACAATATTCTATGACAACTAGAGTTGGCCCTCTATTTTTAGCTTTTTGTTGTAACAAAAGACCACTCTTGATTACAATCAAAACTCATTCAAAAGCTATTTAGCAAAATACCAATGATTGAGTTCCCGAACAATAGCTTCTTGAATGGAATTCGCTATAAAATATTAATATCAATATTGATGATTCGCTAGTAGTTAATAAAAATCCGATTTTGACTTGAAGAAACGATTAATAGTCAGCGAAGATGATTTGTTGTGCGTGTAAAACTCAACAATTTCAGCTAATAGTGTGAAAAATAACCTAAAACGACTCTAATGACTGTGACCGATATTATACATAAGCCGGTACTGTGTTTATTTACATTTATTATTGCAACACCGATTGACTATGAAACAAATACTTATTTAAGGTATAAAAGTATTGAATGGTGAGCTTGCTGACGTTTACTACGCAGCGAGAAATGAATATCAAAAGCATGACATCGTTTTGTTTTTCGCATTAAATATCATTTTATTCAAGCATAGCTCTTGCGCCCATTGTAATTACTAATTATCCACAAAAATCACTGTCAAAATATTTTTTTCATGATAGCTAACTAAAAAAAAAGGTAAATGATAAATGAGAATGATCATAACTCTTTGTTGGCAGTTTACTTTCGATTAAGCATAGTGTCATTCAAGCATGAAAAATTACGAAACACGAATAAAAATCTGTAGAAAAAAAAGCAGATTTTATTTCGTACGTAACTGACCAGCAGAAAACTAGATAATCGTAAGAGAAAATCTATTAAGCGAACTCTAATTTGACGTTTACTTGTGAGTTCGTCTAATCTAGAAAATAATTATTGAATTGTTCTCTCGAATACTTCCAAATCAAGCTTTCCTTATTGGTCTATTCAAAGAGGAACAAGCGAACTTCGGTACTTCCGAAGCACAAAAGTACGGAAAAGTACAAGTACAGAAAAGCACGATTAGAACTGTATAGGTACATGAATATGCATAGAAATTTCTTCCAATTTATTCGAAAGAAAAAATCTAATCATAGCGATAAAACATTAAAAACGATTGCTATTATCTTTGCGGCTTGATTGAATGACTCGAGAGAGTCGACCATTTCACAAGCAGGTGTTTTTATCAGTTAATAACCGGCAAGCTAGTGGAGGTGGAGCCATTAGGGCTGGATAGGCTCAAATTAGGACAGATAAAGGCTGAGGTAGACGCGAATCTAACATAGATTTGAGGAGATTAGATTTAGGCAAACTTCAAATAGGCACACCAAAGGCTTGATAGGTTCGACAAAATATAAAAATTTTCTACTAATGCTTATTTTCATAGTTTTTCGACCAATGACGTACTCTAAGATTTTCAGCCCATATCTCAGCTACTTCTAACTTTTGTTCAATGATATATTTTTTGAATTTCATTGACATGTAATTAGATTGATGTTGAGTTGTTTCTTTTTAGTATAGAACAATTGAATTTCTTTTTCCAATATTCTATTTAAAATAGTTTTTGAATTGTATCCCTGCCACAAAAACTAGGTAAATTGTAGAGGCCAATCGCAGTTTACTCGAAAAATTGCCGACTAGTAGTTGTAATAGAGCCAGTTAATGAATCAGTAAAATCGTTGGTTTTTGTCGGTTTTCATTACATTACTAAATATTTGAAAGCGTTACTCCTTTCCTGTCGCAATACCAGATAAACAAAATCAGACTTTACCTTTCTTTCACAATAAAGCACAAAGCCCACTAGTTTTCATGAAATTTCATCCTCTAGTGTAATTCTATTAAACAATTCAAATGATAACTAAAAGCGAATCAAGGTTATGAACAGAAATACCATAGGTAAAACTAATAAAAATCTCACTATCAACTTGATGAAGCGCTTTCACTGATTTTATTTAAAAAGATCAAGACAAGAAACTCGTTTTTAGCTACCGAACAGGCCTATTTCTTGTTAGGCTATAATTTCTAATGCTTTTTCAATAACATTTTTCAGTTAATTGGTTATAGTTTCTGTAATTTCGGGTGGAATCATGCATTAGATACTAATCACGTTTATAAACAATCAAAATCTAGCTAGAAAATCGACAACGATCGTCATTGTAAAAAACAAAATACTTTTCAACTGGTTCACATTCATAAATGCAAAATTAGGACTGGAATCAGATTGAAATGAATAAAGCAATTTCTTATACTAATGAGGTTTTAATCAATTTTCAAACCGTTTTTATCAAAAACAACGTAAAAAATCGAAATTTCATGGATTACGAAATTCACACTGACTATATTCGATTAAGACTTGATAAAAACTAGAGTGTAGCTGATGCAAACTACATTAAAACTTTTCATTGATCATAGAGAAAAAAATTAAAGTCTTATGATAATAATCAAATTATGAATCCTGTATTTTTACATCGACAGACATAATTTTCTCAAAAAAAGTGAGCCTATTCTAGATTGGAGCCATTCCGCCGTCTCCGCATCGATGTGCTCAGGCGTTATTTAAAATAACTATTATAAGTGGATATCATAGCACTAGTGTACTGTGTGATTGAAATTTTTGATCGCGTCCACGAATATTTCTATGTGACTATAAGAGGCACGAAAACGTTTTGGTCATTCGATTGCAATATTTCCCCAACGTATTTCATTCGGTAAATTCAATGTTAATAAAAATTAACAGTCATAATCAGTTGCTTTCATTTGTATTCTAGTAGAAATTCTTTGAAAACATAATAAATTTTAATAAATATTTGAGATTTTGAAACTGTACGTTAAATTCGTGATCACGGAATCTTAATGTCGTTCACGATAACGACCACGAATTTTTTTTCTCAATCACGACTACGAACACGATCACGAGCAAAAGACATTTCTTACTCACGGGCACGATAGCGCAGTACAATATATAGCAATAGTACTACCATAAAGCAAAAGTGAAAAAATTAATTCAATACATTTTGGAAGTACCAAGAAGTACAAGAAGTCCAGAAGTCTGCTTGTTCCCTCTTGGGTCTATTTCGATGATGATTTGTGAAATATTTTATTCAACTAGAACTCAAAACGTTCAAGAAGAAATCAATCGAACGATGGTTATATAAAGTTGGTCGTTTACAACCCATCATGATTAATTTGCAACCGATCCCACTGAAAACTCGAGACCGCCAGCAAAATCTGACTATTATGCTTTCTTTCATAATTTAGTGTTCTACTTCTGTTAAAACAACTTCACTTCTAAAATTAGAACGCCGAATGATTGATAAATATATAAATATCATTGCAAGAAAGATCTTGAAAATTGCGATTGTACAATATTTGGCCAATGAAAAATATAAACAATTATTGATTTTTAAATTACTTATAATGATCTATATGCAATACGAAATATAGAATAGTTTGAAAAATTATTTTTCTCAATCATGACTTATTGTCGTATCAATACAGTCGATGATCAAAATACCAAGTTATTTGAGTCTACAATATCTATTCTTCAGTATTTGAATGCAAATAAGATATACACTTTTTACAAAATATTTCATTGATTTAAAACAAAAACCAATCATAGCTAAATTCGTATGTATTTTGTCGCTACTATATCTCTTGTCGTATCAGCGTCTCTCTTGATGTATTCATCTGTTTTATCTTTTTTTTTCAATTTTTACGGTTTTTTATTATTATAAATATTCAAGCAATAGAAAACAGCATTCTATCATATTGCTATTAGCGTTGTTGTCTTGAATTAGATGAAGAAATTACGCATTTGAACAATCCTATTGCACACATATCTAGTTTTTGTTTAAACTAGACAAATCTGTGTTCAATTGAAATTCTTGTGGACAACTATTTTAACCTATTTACAATAATATAAAGTTCTTAAAAAAAGAGCAACATTTTGTTTTTAATTCGAAAAATGAATTATTCTTATAAATTTAGATAAATCAATTTGTTTATCTCAGTATGATTAGTAAATTTTAGTCGAGAATATTTTGTTTTTCTCTCTTAATATAGTTCCTAAATATACATATTTTAGATGCGTTCAGTTACTTTATTTACAGCACAATTTGCTGATATACCCTTGGAAATTCTTGCAGCTAAAGCTCGTGAATGGGGTTTCGATGGATTAGAACTCGGTGGGCATGTTGATATTCACAAAGCATCTACTGATCAATCATATTGTCACGAAATTCTTTCTTTATTATCAAAATATAATTTAAAATTATTTGCTATATCAGCACATTTAGTTGGTCAAGCTGTGTGTGATCGTATTGATGAACGACGTCATCGACCCATTTTACCAGAACACGTTTGGGGTGATGGAGAATCTGAAGGTGTTAAACAACGAGCCGCTCAAGAAGTGATTGCTGCTGCGTATGCTGCAAAAAATTTAGGTATTAAAATCGTTAACGGTTTTACTGGCTCAAGTATATGGCATTTACTTTATGGTTTTCCACCGATTAGTCCCGAACAGATCAATGAAGGCTATGAAGATTTCGCTAAACGTTGGAAACCAATATTAGACGAATATAAAAAATGTGATGTTCATTTTGCATTAGAAATTCATCCAAGCGAAATAGCTTTCGATATTGTTAGTGCTGAACGTGCATTAAATGCAGTTGATAATCATCCATCGTTTGGTTTCAATTTTGACCCATCACATTTGGGTTATCAAGGTGTTGATTATATTGAATTTTTACGTCGGTTTAAATCGCGTATATTTCATGTGCATATGAAAGATGTCGATTTCGATTGGAATCGTCCTTGTGAAGCCGGAGTTTTCGGTGGGCATACGGTGTTTGGTGATCCAAGACGATTTTTTAATTTTCGCTCACTTGGCCGCGGAAAAATTGATTTCGAAAGAATTATTCGTGCTCTAAATCAAATTAACTATGAAGGTCCCTTGTCGGTCGAATGGGAAGATGGAGATATGGATAGAGAAATAGGAGCTCAAGAGTCACTTCAATTCGTGCGTCGATTAGATTTTAAACGTGGTGACAAACAATTTGATGCTGCATTCACTAAACAATAACTAATCATAATCGAATCGCAATTCTTAAATCTGATTTTGTGTTCTCTCTTATTCTTCGATTTATTTATTTATACATATTTTATCAGAAGGAGAAGCAGTAGTAGGAATCGTAACAGAGAAACGTACATGCACAGAAAGACAATTAGTCAGTATTCGGTTTTTTTGGTAGAAAAAAAATAGGAGAGAGAGAGAGAGAGAGAGAGAGATAGCAAGCAAGAAAAGAAGGGAGAGCGATAAAGAACATACGTTGTATATTGTATGTGTGCTGAGTGTAATGTACAAGAAAAGGGACGACATAACATTGATGTAGAAAAACGAAAGCTGCTGCTTTTTGGATACACAATATGAAGAAGGCACTGTCGAAATCATGCAGTAAGAAAAGAAAAGAACCAAAAAGATAGAGAAAAATAAAATAAAAAAAGACACTAAATATCGTCAACGAATCTCTGGTGACGATTGGTCTCATTGTCCTTGAAACAGCGTATGTATTCAATGCATTCTTTTTATTTTTACTTCATCTGTCTGTTACAAAACGAACTAAAGAAAAGGAAAATTGATAAAATGTAAAAAGAATCGGCGCAGTCGCCAAAAGGAAGAACATACACAGATGCATACTCGGCGTAAAAAAGTTTATCCACGCGTTGTGCTGGCTTGTTGTACGTCTTTCTCTTGTACGAAGGGAACAGGTAAGAATCGACAGGGAAAAAGAGAGAGAGAGAGAGAGAGAGAGAGAGAACAACAACAATGTAAAAAATACATTGACGACGACGATGTCGTGTGATGTAGATAAAGATTCTCGTCGTGCGAAAGTAAGTGTGTGTGAGAGAGAGAGACAGAACCTAGTCATCTTTCGTAACAAGAATGTAATAGCAGCAGCATGTGAGTGTATACAGAGAAAGAAGGTGGCTTGATAGTGTATGCAAAATGAGTAGCTGAATAAATAGACAACGAAAAAGAAGAAGCAGCATAAAGTTTTGTTGTGCATAGCCTGTTGTCACCTTGATAAAACAAGTGAATTAACATACACAATTGGACATTTTTTTGTCTTCTGTATGTAAGTAAATCGAAATAAGAATGGATTTTTATTTGAGCAGTTACTTCAGAATGTTGCCATAAAGTTTATTTTTTTTATATTGTCATTAAATTAATTTAAGACATATAATAAAACAAAACGAAGAAAAAAACGAAAGCACTCTACATAAAGATGTAATCTTCGATTATTAAAAATGTTTCCTATTATCCTATACACAAAAGTTTCCCGTTCTTTTTTGTTTTATTATATACAAAAAACTCCATTTTTTGTTCCCCTCTGTGCAATACATCATTTCCGTGATAGTGCTATAGGCGTGTATTTGCCTCTTTTTTTTCTTCTTCTCTGCTTATGTGTCTTGCTTTTTATCGTCTTTCTATTGCTGCTCAAGTCGAACGTTTTTGTTCTCAGCAAAGGAAGAATGTCGGAGACAAAAAGTACAAAGAAGACTCTCTGTTGAACACACACATTTGGTGAATAGAAAAGAAAAGGAAAAAAATCTATCCATGTATGCGTGTTATACAACTTCTCGTTTTTTATTCTTTTTGTTTCTATTCTCATTTTTTCCCAACGACAAGTTAGACAAAAACCGAAGGAGGGAACCTTGGAAATATGCACATAGAAGCATTATACACGCAATTGTGAACATGATGACAAGAGTAAGAGAAGAAAAAAGAAAAAGAAAAGAAAAGCAGAAGAAAAAGGAGGAGTTTTTGTAGAGGAGAGAAAAAAGAAGGGAACATAACTATTGCGCTGTTCAATCCTAACCGTGCTACGAACAAGCGCGTCGTGCCGCCCTTCAAAAAAGAGCCTGTCTTTTTCTTTCTCTCGTTTGTGTAGCGACAGAGAGAGAGAGAAAAGAAAAAAAAGAAGAACTGTCCTGAACATCATCATCTTCATCATCATGAGAATCAACATGAGAGAAAACGAACGAGTAAGCAACGCGCTCTTCTCGCTTTCTCTGTCTCTCCTGGTGATTTAGTTGTGTGCGTGCAAAATATGTTCATGCCCGACCGAAGGGAAGTTCGAAGAGAATTTTTCTTCTCTGGGGGGGGGGGGGGGGGGGGGGGGGGGGGGGGGGGGGGGGGGGGGGGGGGGGGGGGGGGGGGGG